AATTTAATTAACTGTCTCAATATTGTTTTCTTAATCTAATCATCTCTGCTTCTTTGAGATAGAATTTGTGTGGAGAGACTTACTTGAATCTTGCAATTAAAAGGTTGACAAGTAGAATGTTAGCAATCAGCAGGTAGATGCACATCAGTGCAGGAGCCACCCACGCACCATAGGAACATTCGCTGTTGGGGTTCATGCAGGCTGAAAGTAGAAAAAAGTTTCAGAAGGGGAAAAACCCAACAAAGTTCACTCAAAATGTTAGAAGATTCAGATTTTTGGCTTATGTCAAACAACATACATACATATATATATAAAATTTGTATCTAAAGAAAAAGCCGGAAAAAAGAATTTTATTAAATATTATTTTGAAATAATTTACTCCAGGCAACTCATGATGAATTCTCTACTTTTAAAAATGGTAAAAGTTGTTTAATCTAAGAGTCTCTTTAACCTCAGAGCAATTTTTGAAAACCAAATTAGGCCATTTTATAAATAAATCTATTCTCAGCTTCAAAATATATCTTTTACATCCAATTGTTCTGGGATCTTTACAAAGACTGCAAACTCTTTGGTCAGCCCAATATAACAACATCAGTTTCTTTACAACATTGTTACCATGGTTTCAAACATGGCCATAATTGTTTTTGTTTTTCTTGTAAAATTCCAACTGTGCTTCAAAGCAGCAGTGAAAAATCCAAGAAAACAAGTAAATTGAATTCATTTGCTTAATTCGGTGATTCTTATTCAGCTAGGGGAACATTTCATAAATTGATTGTAATACAAAATTCAATGCTTATTTTAAATGCATGAGACTAAAACAAGATCAATTTATTAAACAGAACCCTGATCCACTTTTTTTCTGTGAATCTAGTGTTTTAGAATTTTTCAACAGAAATCATAAATTCTGGCATATTGATATAGAGCCATTGATTTTGTTAAAATCATTCAGTAAAAATAGACTGAGTGATATTTTCTAGTAATAAATTCCTTATTCTATAAATAATATAGCATCAATCACTATTTGCTTCGCTTTTGTTTTGTTTTTTAATTAAAAGGTCAAAATATATATTTTACATATTTTTGGTTTGGTTTGTTTTACAGCATATCAACCTCAATGGGTTATTTAATGCTCACAAGATTTTTTACTGCTGGTAATATTTTTTTTCTAAAAATGTATTATTGCTGGTAACATTTTTTTGTTTTTCAAAAATATGTTGCTGGTAATATTTTTTTTTTCTAAGATGTAAAATATATTGCAGGTAATAATTTTTTATAAAAATGTACTGCTAGTATTAAAACTTATTTTTACACTTTCATAGTAACATATTTTTGTAGACTAAAGAAAATAATCAGTTTTTATAAATGAATGAATAAAATTTAAATGAATGGGTTTTAATGGGATCTTTTTGGTAATCAACATGATGTGGTGGACAAGAGAAATGTTTTGTAACAGGCAAAATGCAGTTGTTGGCTGTTGCTGGAAAACCCATGGACTATAGTGTAGCATAATTTATGGTGAAAACATTAGTTCATTTTAAAAATGACATTTGTCATATTTTCTTTTCTAAAAAACTAAAGAAATATCTCTAATGATTACAAGTAAGGACAAAAATTTTACCAGTCCAAAGCTCTCTATTATATAGAAACCAAGGCAATTATTAGTTTTAATATTTTTGATAAAAACTAAAAAGATAGAATATAAAGACACCTTTCAGAATCTAAAGTGAAAGTGGTACAATTGAAAACGATTATGAAGTCATTTAGCTTGAAGTCATTGCTTTATTGCCATTAACTTATTCCTTCTCAATAGAAGGCCATTTTTTTTCAAAAAGCAGGAAGAAAAAAATAAAGAAGAAATTTATCTAAATGTTCAACAGAGAAAGAGTATGGAAGAATATTGTGATTGGTGTCAAATAAAGTTTGTAATGAACTCACGGTCAATTTCCTCTGCAAACAGCTCCCCGTAGATCATCCAGTAGGGATAGAAGACAACGTTGCGTGCAATGAGCCAGGAAGGATTTTCATGTTGAAAGTGAATAGCTTGACGGACGATTCCAAAACTGATCAGTACGATGAAGAGGATAATGATGAAATATGACATGTCCCTCAGCTGAAAGTGGGAAACAAAATGATTTAAATGGATGTGATGTAATGGATTTAGGTCTGGAAGTAGGGGTTGGAGTGAGTGATAAAATGCAGACTGTGGGTCACTGGGGCAAGAGAAAGAGAGAGAGAGACAGAGGGAAAGAACAAGAGAAAGAGAGAGAGAGAGACAGAGGGAAAGAACAAGAGAAAGAGAGAGAGAGAGACAGAGGGAAAGGACAAGAGAAAGAGAGAGAGAGAGACAGAGGGAAAGGACAAGAGAGAGAGGGGGAAGGACAAGAGAGAGAGAGAGGGGCAAGGGCAAGGACAAGAGAGAGAGGGGGAAGGACAAGAGAGAGAGATAGACAGAGGGCAAGGACAAAAGGGGGATGGAGAGAGAGAGAAAGGACAAGAGGGAGGGAGAGAGAGAGAAAGGACAAGAGGGAGGGAGAGAGAGAGAAAGGACAAGAGGGAGGGAGAGAGAGAGAGAAAGGACAAGAGGGAGGGAGAGAGACAGAGGGAAAAGACAAGAGGGAGGGAGAGAGACAGAGGGAAAAGACAAGAGGGAGGGAGAGAGACAGAGGGAAAAGACAAGAGGGAGGGAGAGAGACAGAGGGAAAAGACAATAGAGATAGGATGAGAAAAATGAAGTACAGGATAAGAGAATGATAAGTGATGCTCTGAGGATGAGAAAGAGTGAGAAAATAGATGGAAAGCACGAGAGAGAGAGAAAGAGAGAGAGAGAGAGGAAGTATTCGGATGCAAAATTTTAAAATTTTCTCAGCAGTAATGATGACGTCAGGAGAATATAGCTTTACTTTTTCTTATTGAATGAATGAATTTCTATTTTTATTCTTTCAATATTTCTACTAGAAATGGTGTTTTATAACATTAAGTAAATTTCACTTAGTTTGGAATATAAATTGATCTTATAAATCCAGTGTTTAAGTCACACATTCTTAACATATGTATAGCACCCCCCCTTGGGGGCATTGTGAAATCTCAAAAGAATTGATACATGTTCAAGGACAAGTAGGGAACAGTATAGGAACTCTTATTACATAAATCAACATTGAAACTGGAATTAGTAGACTGTTGTTGCCCTTTTTAGGGTCCAGAAAGAAAGACACGGAAGATGAAGGTAGGTTGAAAAAGTATATTGAATATATATATACAAAACAATAGTGTTAGTAATAAGTAGATTAGCACTGCGTCTACTACTCCACTCCACACTCTTCTGATCCGACTCTCGCAGTTTGTATTTATGAGAGAAGGAAGAGTTCATTATACTGTAAGAGGGTTTACCACAACATAGACCAAGTTCAATTTCTGGTTCAGTCTGTGGTATTCACTTTCGGAATAGTGTCCTTAGAGCGAGCAAAACCCTGTTAGCTAATGTCTCAGCAATTTTTCAATTATCCAGCATAATAACTGCTGTGTTGCTAGTTTCCAACCTGGCTTTAATTCTGGTCGTGAACATGTGAATTTATTGCTTTTACTCGGTTTCATTTATCAGTAAAATTTGAATCTAGGTATTACCAACCTGTGAAAATAGCAGAAATGTGTCATTGGGAAAGAACAAAATGATTTAAATGATGCCATTCTTTAGTATTTTCTTATTGAAATTCAGTTCTATAAAATTAAATTCCGTTTACTAATACTTTCATTACTGCATTGTTATAACATTGTTGCCTGGCAGTACTGGCCCATTTTGGTAAAAATAGAAAAAAAACAACATTTGTTCTATTTACTGAGCACTTAGATAATGACAGTGATTTCTGTTTCAATCGGATACTTTGCAGTACAAAACTAACCCAACCCACTATAAAATGAAAATAGTCCACAAAACAGCTACTTTGGAAATAGTATTAAGTACTAGTTACTTTCTAACACAAACATTAGGGAATCAACATTTCACAATTATATAGCTGGGTTGATGTGAGTTTGTGACCCTGGGTATATATTATTTATATATTATATATGCACGGTACTGATTGTCAGACAAAGTTTGTCTGCCGATTGCAAAAGCATTAAACCCAGAGTCACAAACTCACATCAACCCAACTAAATATGTTAGCTCCATCAATGATATTGAGCACTATCCAATAAGTACCATATATAATATATAAATAGTATATATAATAAATTTTATATATATATGATAAACAATAAAATCCAAAATCACCTCATTTGGGAAATACCATATTCTGGCAGATGAAAATATCAGTTGTCTGTCTTATCAATCTCAGTGTAGACTGAGTTTATGTCTGACACAAACTCAGTCCACACAGGCTATTTCCTATATGATGTGACTCTAGATCTTATTGTTTATTAATTATATTGCTCTGTAATAATACATTGAGCTCATTTTGTGAATCAGTTTTAATATTTTATATAACTAGGATCCACTTGGATTATTGGATTATATAGCAACGGATTTATTACCTTTATTATATATATATATATATATATATATATATATATATATATATATATTAGGCATGTCTGGTTGAATAAATTAGTCATAATGACTGTAATTTATTCAACTAATTTTTAATAAAATCTGTTCATACTCACAAATAACCTGTGTATTGATGTTAAGCGAAGAGAGAAATGTGCTATAGCTGTTTCAATTTCTTTTATTTTCATTTTCCCGAAGTACTTTCGATCTTTTTCCAAGATCATCATCAGGGATGCAAGTAATACAAAACTATATGTTGTTCATTAATATAAGTATTTATACAAAGTTGTGCATTGTTATCCATTACCATAAGTTTTTTCATTATGCTTTTAAATGCAAAACAGTTGACAATGTGCTGAGCGTTGATTAGAACGTGAAAAAATTATCCATTATGGAATTTTTTCCCTCTATGTTATGATATTATAATAATGTTATTCAGTGACTGAATAAAAATTGTACAAATGAGATAAGTACAAACAGAGATCACAGGAAATGCAAGACTGACTGACAGGATTTATTAAAGACTTACCAGTTTCCCGATGATCTTCAAGTAGGGTCCCAGGTATTTGTTGACACTGAGCACCTCCAAGATGCGTATGTACCAGAGTACAACATCCACGATGTATATGATGCGTGATGCCTGCAAGGTGCTCGCGTTGAACCTCAAGCCGACACCAAGAAAGAAGAAAAGAATTGCGCAGGTGTCCCAAATGTTCCAGATGTTAGCCATGTATACACGTAACTTCATCAAGAGTTGGGCAGGCTCAGCAGCAATCACCTGTTGGAAATAAAAAACAGAAAGAGAAAAGTCAGAATGAGAAAATTAAAATTTAAAAAAAAAAAAAAAAAAATAAAAGTGATTTAGAAAAGACCGTAATTATGGTTGGTCAAGTGAATTGCAAATAGCTCACATCTCGTGTGTGCTGGGGTCAGTCTATTCAAATCCTGAGAAAACTCAAATCTTCAGGACTGAATTACAGTTTGAACATCTTTGTCTTATTACTCCCGGCACAATTAACTGTTTGGAGGCAAGGAAGGGGAATTATTTTGCTGCTACTGCTTAGGCAGGTGAAGTAGCTACGAATGAGTCATTTGTTTTCATCCTCAACCATCATGATATGCTATAGGTGAGACAATCTAACATTGTATCTAATGGTAGGACAGAACACAGGTAGAAGACAATTTATGCCTCTCCCAAGTGAGGTATACATGAGGAGCCTCATCTGAAATTCAATTTCATTTTCCATGTTGACAGTCATTACACAAACCAGCCTCTCAATATGTATCGATATGCATGTCTTATATAGTCAGTACTACTGTTCATCCAATACATCAATTCACTCACACTTCTTGCTCGTGAAACTCTCTACTGGTTTCTTGCTTCTCAGATAACTTTCATCTTAAAAAAATTTAAATGCAAAGTCAATCATTATCTTCTGCCTTCCAGTTCTTTTATTGTTACCTCTCCTTAATAATGTTTTCTTTTTCTCATATTCTTTCACACCCAGTAAGCCCTTATGTTTTAGTGGCTTTATTGCCTTGCTTGGGATGAAATGATTAACAAAAATGTTTTATTAGTAAATCTGGTACTTTCTAAAGTCTATAGCAATTCAAAATAATGTTTTACATGAGAACAAACAAATTGGTTTAGTTTGTTTTATGGCATATCAACCTCACTCGGTTATTTAATGGCCACAAGATTTTTATTGCTGGTAATATTTTTTTCAAAAAGTATTTCTGGTAATATTTATTCCAAAATAGTATTGCTGGTAATAATCTTTTCTTCAAAAATTTATTGTTGGTAATATTTTTTTACCAAAATGTATTGCTGGTATTAAAACCTATTTTTACACATTTTGACACCAGTTTGGGGGTTAACTATTTTCCCATAGCTGGGACCCTAACAGGTGCTACCACCCCGGGTCAGGGTGGACCTGGGAACGCAGCAATTAACAGGTGGTTCCATGCTCCTCAAAACCTCCTGATCAGAGGCCTTGCTGTCGGATGTATTTTATCATATTACCCAGGACACAGATGTAGTTTATTGATGTACCCAGGACACAGATGTAGTTTATTGATGTACCCAGGACACCAACCAAATTGGATGATTAGAAATGTTCAATGTTCTTTTTGTTTCACATGAGGTAAAAACATTTCTTATATCCCAGGATGCTTTTGAAGAAAACCAACTGGCAGATATCCCACACACTTTCTTGTTGATCTCACTCATTATCTCATAAAAGACCACTGTACCAAATCTGACAGCATTTGGTCAAATGACTTACACTTGTTGTATTTTCTCTGTTGATATGTGACACTGATATGCATGTAGTGCAATGGTTATCAGCACTGAAAGTCAAATCGGTGAGCAGAGTTCAAATTGTAGAATAGTCAGTTGCATTCACTTTTGTACAAATACACTTAGGAATAGCATGAACCTAACTCTTCTCTCATCTATGGATTAAATAGCAGGACTGGATTCTATAGCCTGAGGTGGTAACCAATCTGAGCAATTCAAAGCCACTTTGAATGGATCAGGCTATCTTGCTCTAGACACATCTACTGTTGCTAAAGTTGCAGTACAAGACTTGTGATTGAAAGGCTTAATTTGTTTTTCATGGCTTATTTGTAGGATATTTAAAGCCAAAACATAATTAGAATTGTAAGAATAATTCTTTTCATGTGATTGAATATTGCATTAACAAATTTTTGAAAATAACAATGATTTTTCCAGATACTACTTAACACATAGCTGGAGTGGAGAGGGGGGTGAGGAGACAGATTCATACATTTCCCAAGTGTATTTGTGTGTAAGTGAATGTAACTAACCCAACTGAAATTTGAACTCAGCTCTCCAATTTCTGATTCCAAGCCAGCACCCACACATCTATGTGTTCAAAAGAAATAAGGGAAATACAAGAAATGAACCAAAATGCATGATACATTATATAAAATCAATCCTTGTGCAATAGTTTATTAAATATACAGAAACATACATTTAGACACACACAGTTAATTTCTTTGGTTGAGATGAATTCTCAGAGAAGCAAAATGGTTCAACCAACTGAAAAAGAGACAACGTTAACAACAGTCAAACTAATCAATAAAATTGTAATTATAAGTTTAAAGCGCCAACTTTAGAACTCATCTTACCCACCCTTAAAGCAATATGGCATGTCATAGTTCCAACTCTATAGGGAGCACAAATAATGGAGCCGCACTCACCAGGGACTGAAAATTAATTGCAGCCACCCTTTTTTGCTGGATTGACAAACCTGATAATGAAGTTGGCTTGCATAAGAGACCAATCTTTCATTCAATGCAGTTGAACTGTTTGAGAGATCAAAATGGACATTCGGTATTAGCAGGCAAAGTGTGCATTTTACACTTGTACACAATGCAAACATAACGATTCAACCCAATACAGATTAACACAGAAATGGAAGTTAATAAAAATGTGTATGTATAATTTCTGACTATTTCAAATACATAAACAAAAAGGTTTTATTCAAAGATATCATGAGTAAGTACAGTCACCTAATACACACATGCAGACACACGCCATGATTACTCCAAAAATAATGTCACCTATTTATTTCCATAGAAATTACAACAGATACATGACACCCAGCAGCATCATTGGACAGAATCTGTTTTCAGCAAAACACAGTCTTCCTCTTTTTCACAGCAGTAATGATATCAGGAAAATGTTGTCCATATAACCCAGTAGTTCCCAACTGATTTTGGGCCATGCCCCTCTTTGGTATTTCTAAAATTCTGGTGCACCCCTGTAATATTTAATTCTTACATATTCAAAATTCACATAAAGGAAGCTTAAAAGGTCATTAATTTCTAAACAAGCCTCTAAAGACCATGGCATCCATGAAAGAGAAGAGAAAATTTAAAAAAAAAAAAAAACCCAAAAAGACAGTTAAATATATACAGTTTCAAAACATATAATAGAGAATTGAAAGGCAGAAATATAAAATATTTGAATGAAAGTTTATTCTGTAATATACTTTGGTCATTTTAATCATGAAATAATAATGCAAAATGAAATTTGACCTCATTAGAAAACAATTCACTGTTAATGACTGATTCTGGAATTGCCATCTTATTCTGTTGGTATAGTAAGACGAAGGGTGCACATCCCATGCATGCCTTAGCAAAATATTCCCATGTTGGGAATCATTGATGTAGCCTATCTTTCACTGGCCAAAACATAACTTGTCAAGCACGACAATACTTTTACTGTCAAAATGTATTAACCAACATCTAGCTGTACATGTTACCACTATTTAGTCTCTATAAATGTTCAACAAGTGTTAATATATGTCAGTGGGTGTGATTTTTCTTCATGGGAGAAATTCAAGGATACACCTCTGATTCATATGCACTTTTATGTTTTTATGTCAGATGTAATTTTGTCAGACTGCTATAACAAAACATTATAGGTTAATGATGGGAAGGTTCAACTTCTAAAGCAATACTGCCAAAATCTGCCACTGATGCTATCAGTGAACATCATAAAATAAGAAGAATTATTTGGGGAATCAATCTCATATGTCCACCATATCTTTCATTGTTAGCCACTTCATGTTTTATCAATACATAAAATAGAATCTAAAAGTGTATATGTTGAATGATAGCAACATCTGTGCAGTTAGGATGAGAGCCAGTTTATTCTGTGCAGATATAAACAAATGGCTTGATTTTGAAGTTTCAAATCAATAGCCATCTTAAGAGTGAAGATTTAAAATGTGTTATAAGGTTGAGAGGTAAAAAGAAATGTTTGGTAAATTCAGAGTTTGCAGAGTAAAACAGTGCAGGAAATTGTAAGTTTGATTGGCATGTATGCTTGAACTGTGGAGTTAATTGAAAATCCTGGAAAATTGTATAAAAGTAATTTGGGAACTTTATTTTGTCACTCTGTCCAATACCTGGTATCTTGGCATCAGTCATTTTCTCATTGACATAATGTAGCTTCCCTCTGCCTTTTCTATAAGTGCTTTCATGGTAATTGGTCTGATGAACTTTGATTTTATGAATTAAAGTGCAGTACTAGATTGGTGGCAAGGTCTCATCATCTTGCATTTGAGATGGCTATATGTGACTGTAAGTTCTATGCTAACAGTTTCTTCTCACTTGTGAAATTCTTTTCCAGCTTCTTGCTTCCCAATCAACTTTGATCTTCAAAAATTTAATGTTAATCATTATCTTCTGCCTTCTTAATTCTTGTTCTTTTATTTTCTTTCCTTAATAGAGTTGTTTTTTTTCTTTCTCATATTTTCTAACACTCAGTAAAACCTCAATCTTAGTGGTTTTATTGCCTTGCTTTCAGTGAAATAATTAAAATAAAAATGCTATCTTTTTCAAATTATGAAATTTTTAAGCATTTTCATAGTGAGGAATTGATGAAAAGCATAAAATATTGGATCCTAAAATGTGTGACCATAGACAATACCTACTTTAGGCTTCTATCAAATGGAATAGGGAATTTAATACATAACAACTGATTTTTCAACTGTCCTTTTCACTGATGAATGCTATTCTACTCTCATTGTACCAGACAGATGGAGCAAAGACAGGGTGCCTTCTGGGGTTGACAGCTCTCACAGATTTCAACAAGGCAACAGTAGTGTGATGTTTCATGATGGGATTATTGTTGGTGAAGAGAGATGTCTATGGTAAGTTCCAGATTAATTTTTTTAAAGTACACAGAAACATAGTTCAAGTAGAAGCCAAATGCTGTTAGAAATATTTTTATGCATGACAATATTCAGCAAAATAAACAAATATATATTTGCATACATTTACATGCCAAAAGTCATGAAGAATGTACCCTGTATCATGTAGGATCCCTTCTAAGTTAGTAGAATGCAGTAGCTCAATGTGGCATTTTCACAATTGATCAGAGGATCTCTGGAGAGATACTTGAGTATTATCGTTTCAGTAATTATCTTACTTATTATAAAACGCAGATTGTGTGTGTGTGTCTGTAACGTTTATATATTGGATCGGATTTCCTACATTTTTCAACTGATTTCAACAAAACTTCACAGGACTACATAAAATTACCTTGTGGTGGTTCTAACAGCGCCAAAAATGGGAAAAATATAATTGTTTTTGCACAAAATCAATTTGAAAAACACGATTAAGAGACATCGTGAAAATGGAAGGAGGACAACTCACATCGGGTTGTTTTGTGTGTGGTTTCCCTTTAAATATGGGAGCGGATTTCCTATATTTTTCAGCCGATAAAACAAAACTTCACTTTTTTTTTTTTGGCAGGTAGTGTTTCTTATTCTCTTGCACACTTTTTTTTCTTTATTTTAACATTCAGAATACTTTAAAAATTCCATTTACAAGACAATTATTTATAAAAAATTCTATTCAATCAGTAGACTCATAACGATTGAAAACAATGTTTTGTTTGAGTTTGACCAATTCGAAAAAAAAAAAAAAAAAAAAAAATAATTAAGACATGCGTGTCCGTTGACCTTAAACAATAATCTAACGATCTCTACTGATTGTACAAATACAAACATCGGATAAATTCTTTATCTTTAGGGAAAGATAATGAAATCTAAACATACACAAGTCCTAACTAAAAACAATAACCGAACGGAAACTACTTTAAATACACATGGTGTCCAATTTTTTTACTGTATTCAATAAGTAAAAATCATAAATTAAAAAAAAAGATTATTATTACAGAAAGGCTACTAAATGAATAAGATTTGTTAGATCATAATTAATAAACCCAAACAGCATCTACAAGAATTAATCAGAGGGGGTCTACAGCAAGTACTTTTCTGCTTTGCAAAAGCCATAGAAATTGGACACTTTTATCATGTTCATTTCTTGCACTTTGAAAGGGCGTATCACACCCATTTCAGTTTTAGACACCTATCAAAATCCTTTTAACACCAAATTGGACAAACACTTAAACTGGCAAAAGCAAATAAAACATTTGGTAGATGATACAAATATGTAAGGAGCAATAAGAACTGCAAGAAAGACACAAAAATAAGAGCCTACAAAATATAAATGGACACTCTCTCACCCAGCTATATTGTCAGTGAATAAAACTGACTAAATTGCATTTGGCAAATACCTACAACTTAATGTTTTCTTGTGGACAAAAGATGATAGCATACAAAATTCTGATGACAGAAAGTTGGGATACGTAGGAAAATAATAGATTCTGTTGACAAGAATAAATAGCCACAATTTATTTTAATTCCTGATTTAATATTGAATTAAAAACATCAATCAGAAAATGAAACAATATAGATTTCTTGTTTCTATGATGACCAAAAGGTATCAGTTCTTTTATCATTTTATATTTTAAAAATATAAATGAACAAATGGTTCAAATACAAAATGCAATACTTATTCTTTGAATAAAATCTGTTTATGCAGAATTTTTTTCTTTAATCACTATAAGTTATGTTTCCATTCTTTTTTCATTTTTCTCATAATTTAAAAAACTACAATTCTTCTAAAAATGTTATTTAGAGATTTTATAAAGTTGTTTATATTTTTAATAAAAAGCTTTCTTTATGTGTATCAATCATAATATTGTTTAAGATTTTAAAATGTTTAAGACCTACAGCCGCATCACGTTGAAAGACGGGTTCCTACATGATCACCAAAGTTAAGCAATATTGAGCTTGGTCAGTACCTAGATGGGTGACCCCTTGAGAATACCAGGTTCTGTAAGCTTGTATATATGGCTGTTATAATGGATAATGGCTTAGAACTGTTAATTAGAGAGTAAAGTTCTAATTCACTTGCATGCCAATATCCTGGGGAAAGGTATAAATCCAACTCTTCTCCAACCATTTATGGGTTAATTAGTAAGATTTGTGTCACTAAACTATTATCATCTCAAAAAAAAAAAAAAAAAAAAAAATACATACAATCTAAAAATATTTTCTGGCTTGCAAAGGGTTGATAAATCATAAAAAGAGAATCAATCAATCATTAAAATGATTAATCTTCAAAATACTACAACTTTCGAATGTACTAAAAACCATGTGTATATTAGCAGAGTTACCAACATTATTAATTACTGTAATACTACTAAGAATAATAACAGCAATAATATTGAAATAATGTTTTTAGCAGGAATATTCACAACACTTTAAAAAGTTTTTTAAGGAATCCAAATCTTTGATTGGATTAGTATATCTGCCATAATATTAATAATAACCAGTTATATTTGCAACACTATGATTGTAAAAGACTTCTTTTCACTCATCTTTTCCTTATAAAAATTCTCCCGTGTTTGGTCTGTCATTGAGGAAACATGTGAGTTTCCATGTGATTCCAGGAATACGAGAAATGAGATTTGCAGCTATAGGAAGTAGGGAGGAGGAGACACGAGAGTCTACTTTTATATTTACATATGCACCATTCCTGATATTGAGCACTTTAACCCATAAATATAGCATACCTTAAAACTAATATATATATATATATATATATATATAGAGAGAGAGAGAGAGAGAGAGGGAGAGAGGCCACAAAGAAATGAACAAATGTAGAAAGGCACTGATGTGCAAATGGTGAATGGATTCATAGCATCTGCCTGTCTGCAGCAGAAGTAGGTGGGGCTACTTCCAGTGATGACAACATTGGCAACCAATCACTGTGCTGACACTGGCACTGCCTCCAAGTGTTACCAAAGAGGTTCCTACTGCTACTGCTGTCAACATTACTGCAGCTCTAACCAAGGTACTCTTCATCTTTACAAAGATTTCTAGTTCGGAAGAAGGCAGGTGTGTGTGCTGCTAGTTCCACACAAAGGCAGGGTTATAATAGCTCAGGCTGGCTAAAAAAGGAGCGTGTGCATGTGTGTGTGTGTGTGCGAGAGAGAGGGAGAAAGAGAGATTGAATGGGCAAGAAAGGAGACAAAAACAAAAATGCATCAATAACAACCACTTTTCTTGTCTTTGTTTTTGTTTATTTAATTTAAAAAACCCCAAAAACAACAACAAAATTATAGAAAATACACAAAAACACAACAACCTATGGTAAATATTTTAACAGTCTCCAGTTATGAGTTTAGCAAATATTGATTGAAGAGTTTGACCTTTGCACTTCTTTAAAAAAAAATATAAAAAAAGAAAGAAATATGTTGCTTTTCTTATATTTTTTAAGCGAAATACAGCAAGAAAAAACAAAAAAAATTATGGTAACAAGATAATAACAGAAATTAAGACAAAACGAAAACAAAAAAGTAAAAAGAAAAAACCTGAACACACACACACACTAGTTACATTTTGAAGAAATGCCTGGATAGAAAAAAAAGAGTATAACGCTATTTCTTACAACTTTAACAACTTTTCACTGACCCGATACGGATAACAATTGGAGTTTTGTTTTTCAAATCTATAAGTAACAATTTTTTTTACTTAATTAAGGAAATTTAATTCATAAAGGATCTTATTAAGCAGGTAAGTGACAAAATATTTTAATTAAGTTTAAAAGATGATGAACAAAAATTAAAAGGCATTTTTCTTATATGTTCCAATGAATCAACTCTCTTATATATATATATGCTGTTATTATTCAGATTGTGTTGAAGCATGAAAAAGACTGTTGGTGCTGACCGCAGTATCCACTTTTATATTTACATACACTATAAGTGGCATTGACCACTTTTACCCACAAATATACCATATCTTAAAACTATATATATATATATATATATATATATATATATATATATATATATATATATATATCCTGAGATATACCTGTAAATATGAGAGTTTCTTTCAAGTATCAATTCCAGCAATTTTATTTAAGCAACATTTTCCTCGCCCATGAGAAAATGTTTACATGACACAGATGAACAGCCACAGAGTTTGGGGTTTGTTTTATAGACTGTTGCTGGGTACACTATACACCCAACATTATGTGAAATGAATTCTTTGATTTAACAGTAAAAATGGGTGATCAATTTTTATGCTTTTTGGGGTGGTGTGTTCTTTGAAGTAAGAAATATTTGCTCATCAACAGAACAAATATTAATATTTTTCTATCATTAGAAAGAAATATTTTCTAATCCATTAACACTTAAAAGGGTCATAGCATAAAAAAAAAATTTACTCTTTGCATTGATAATTTTGTAGCAAATAAGACTGCCTTTAAGTTAATAGGTAAGAACTTTTCCCAATATATTTTGTGGAGTGATTGATCGCAAATCCCATGACCAGTTGGGGTCATAGGGGCACCACACGTACTGCAGTAAAAGTGGTGTTTCTTGGGCAAGTTAGCCTGACAGAACCTAACCTTCTCCAGGGTGGTTTTTGAATTCAGAGTTACCTTCTCCTAGACTGATTGCCATCCAAGGCTATAGAACCCATTTACCTATAGCTGGTGATGTGAAGACGATTCATACCTTTCCTAAGCGTATTAGCATGTAAGTGAATGTAATGGATTCAAATGGAATTTGAACTTGGCTCTCCAATTCCTCATGGTACCTCCAGCATGTAAATGAATGTAATGAATCTGACTTTCTGGAGAACAAATGACAAATAAAGGATATAATATTCTCTTTAGAGCCTAAACAATCATGGTTCTCCACAACTTCCTGTTACTGGTAGCTCTGAGCAACATTTAACCTTTGTTCATCCCTCACTGTCTCAAGCTCAATACTTAAATTCCTTGTTGTTTCTATCTTTATCTCCTTCCCTCAATATGTCCTGTGAGTAGTAAGTTTTCCAAGCCATCCTTCCTCATAATATATCCCATTATGACAAATAATGGATATAAATTTATTAAAATTAATTCTATTTACTACCAATAGGTTACAGGTTACATTTGTTTCATCAATGAAAGAGAAAGTTTTCTGACAGACAAATAAAAGATCTTTTGTTTACACAAAGAGTTCATTAAACTTGATTAAAGGGTCAAGAGTTCAAAACTTTAAACTCAACCAGAAGCCTAATTGTTTCCTATTTCTTATACTTTTTAAATTAAAAAAAAAATAATGGGTAAAAAATTTATTGAAACAAGATTATTTTGCCCTTTTTAAATGTCTATCAACATTTGTGTCGTGTTCCTACAGGATATGGGCATTCATGGCTCTCCACAACTTCCTGTCCCTTGTAACTCTAAGCAACATTTGACACTTTACCATTCCTAGTTCCTGCATTTATATCCATTCAAACAAGCTCATTAGGTAAGTTGTTTCCTTCTACTCCTCCTTCCCTTAATATGTTCCGTGAGTATTAAGTTTTTCAAGCCATCTTTCCTTATCACATGTCCCAGAAATTTCAACTGTTTCTTTCTGATTTTAAGTATGTCTTTCTAGTTCCCATTTTCTTTAGAATTTCCTTGTTGCCCACATGTTATCCAGGGTATTCTCAGCATCCTTCTGCAGAAACAAATCTCTGTTGCATAAAGGCTTTTTAGAAGTTCCTTTAGCCAAATAGTTTGGATGTAAAAATCTATAACTTTACTATTGATCAAAAATTCTCAAATGCTTGCTGAAGTGATTGTGTAATTATACAAGTGATTTCACAAATAAGTGAATATTTCCTGAATTAAACTTTTTTTTTTTCATTATTTGTATGAAGTAAGTGTTTTCCTTCTCTAGGCTAAGTGTGATAATGAGTCTCACCAATCTGACACTTTCGAGTTTCATAAATTTGATGTTCTACTACTGAAGTAAAAACGTAGGTGGACACTATAGATTTTGAGTAGGCAAAATAGGCCCCAAGCCAAATGTATTTCTATAACTTACAATAACAACCAGTGTTATCAGATGTATTGGGATGTTAACTTTCTTATTACTGTTTGTTCCAGCCATAGGAATACAATAGATATTTGTCTTTGTTGGCTATTTAAGATTTTACAAGTAAAGAAGCAATAACTACTGTCTGTACAATGCCAAAAGCTATATATATATATATATATATATATATATATATATATATATATATATTACTCCCAATTAGGTATCATAGACTTTACAAGTAGATAGATGAAGTGACTGCAATTGAGAAACTGTTCAAAGTCAACAAAAGGAAGAGAAAAACACTAATCACATATATCCATAGGTACCGATCTAGACTGTTAAATGAGAAAGGTTACTTTTTAAAACAAAACTTTTCTTGTTGAGGCAAAATATAATTTCTCTTTTCAGCAACCAAAATAGTAGATAGAGAGCTTGAACTTGCCAATTCTCTGTTGATAGCATCAGGAACTACAAGTGATAGATAAACAATTTAGGAGAACAATAAAAGAGAATTATCTTCTGCTAGACTTGAACCCTAACCAATAACATTTATATATAACCCACTTTTTTAAAGAAATTAGCAACTTTATGAGACAAGCAAAGGTACATATCTAAAAACCTTTTGTCATAAAACTGTAAAAATGTTTATTAAAAGAAAAAAAAAAAACTTTGGGATAATTTGCTACATAAAAATCCTTAATTTTTGATGAACAACAATGAAGATATTCCAAGTTTAATGTTTAATTAATACAATCTTGCAAGCAATTCTCTTCTTTTGTCCTCATAGAAAGTTTCTGTATATTTTAGTCAATAGTCTCTTGACAGTCAGAAAAGAGCAGACAAAATTAAATGAAAAATGTGAATGTTTTCCTTTGATCTGCATATACATATATCTATAAACAAATGTTAATCTATGCCAACACAAATCCAATTTCGTGTATATGTATATACATGCAGACATGTATGTAAGC